CAACCACTGAGCCACATCCCCAGCCCTTTTTTGTATTTTTAGTTTAGAGATAGGGTCTCACTGAGTTGCTTAGGGCCTCACTAAGTTGCTGACGCTGGCTTTGAACTTGTGATCCTCCTGCCTCAGCCTCCCGAGCTGCTGGCATTACAGGTGTGTACCACCATGCCCGGCGCCTTTCTTGACCACAAAGACTGGCCGTGTTACTAACTCAAGTTCCCACAAGCCCCCTGACTTTATTAGGACAACAATATCAGTGACTGGCACTTGCGAGTTGACTTCTGTCTTTCCCCTCAGCCGGAGGCTCTGGGGTCAGGGGCTCTCTCCCATCTCTCCCATGCCAGGTTGGCAGGTAATGGGTTGAAGCTTCTCAAACCAGGTAGGCCTCAGGTTGGACTTAGGGTTAGCTCTACTGGTGAAGGCTGGGCCGTGTAGGGGTCATGGGGCCACAGACAATCCCCTGTCCCCATGGAGGATGTCCCCGACACTCACCAACCCAGACACACCTTAATGAGGTGCCTGCAGCCGATGGCTTTCTCCAGCCGAGGGCACGTGGTCTGTCTGTGCCTGGAGCAGCCTGCAGATGGCAAGGGGTCAGTGCACCAGGACCGTCCTTCAACCTGACAGGTGACAGTTGGTCGGTAAGAATCGTGGCTCCCTCCACCTTAGGTGGGCAAGTCTCACACAGACCCCCAGAGGACCGCAGGAAGACTCGGTCCTAGTACTTCCCAGAACTTGCTCATAGCTATGGACTCAATTGTGGTCTCCTTCCCAAGTCCCCACGGTGAAGCCTTAACCAGTCACGTACTTAGACACGGAGCCTTTCGAGAGGTATAATGAGGTCATAAGGGTGGGACCCTAGTGTCCTTTGAAGAAGAGAAGGAGACACAGGGCGTGTGCACAGAGGTCATGAGAGGTTCCTCAAAAGATCAGGAATGGGAACTCCCTGGGACCCACCTGCACCCCTCCTTGGTACTCGTCCCTGAGAATTAAAGTCAGCAAGTGTCGAGGTTTGGATGGAAGGTGTCCCCAAAAGGTCACATGTAAGACAGTGCCAGATGGTTTGGAGGAGAAATGATTGGTCCAGAGCCTTAACCTAATCAGCGACCTCGGTTAATCTCTGATGGGATTAACTGAGTGGTCACTGAGGCAGGTGGGGGTGGCTGGAGGGGGTGGGCACTGGGGACGTGGCCTGGGGTGTATATTTGGTATCTGGAGGGTGGAGTCTCTCTGCCTCCCGGTCCCCACGTGAGCTGCTGTCCTGGGCCACCCTCTCCCTCCACGATGTCCTGCCTCACCTGGAGCCGAGGAGTGGATCCTGCTGTCTCTGGACGGAGGCCTCTGAACCATGAGGCCTCAATGAACCTTTCCTCCTCTACATTGTTCTGGCCGGGACTTTTAGTCACAGCAGCAAAAAAAGCTGATTACAGCAACCTATTTGAGACATATTTATACCAGTTCACTCACAACCGCCAAGTCACGGAGCCAGCCGAGGCATCCATCAGGAGATGGACGCATGAGGAAAACGAGGTGCGCCTCCACCTCGGGGTCTACTCAGTCACAGAGTGAGGTGATGTGCTTTGCAGAAATGGGTGGAACTGGGAACTTCACACAAAAGGAGCTAAGCCAGACACAGAAAGCTAAAGATCCTGTGATCCGGTGACTCTCATGAAAGTGGAGGGGAGAAGAGAGAAGGGCAGCGGATGGAGGGGGAGGAAAGGGGTGGAAAGGTGTGGGGATCGGTCATGTGGTGCTAGGTGTGTGTGTGCATGCATTGCAGGAGCCACTGTCACGTGTGATTAAAATGCAACGTGAACCAAGGATGTTCCTTCTAGACAGAGGAAGCACTGCCTCAGCCTCGGTCCCGCCCAGGGCAGGCAGGGCCCTGAGTGCAGCCAGAAGGCGCCCAGCGTGGTGGTGGGCTCCTTGTGCAGCTGGCCATGGGGCAGTGCCTCCCCTCCCGGGGGCAGGATGAATGCAAAGAGCACGGCTTTTGCAGTCCCAGAGCTCCAGCTTCCCTGCTGGCTGGCTGACTCTGGGTGAGCCCCTTTCCCACTCTGGTCTCACCTCCTGGTGTGTTGGAAGTGATACCAATACTCTCTCAGGGGGTTCTGGGAGGGACCAGGGGTAAAGCACTCAAGATGGCCTCCACGGGTCAAGTTCACTGCATCTGAAGGTGATTCTCAGGGGAGAGAGGAGTAGGGAAGTTTGGGAGCTGCTTGAGATTGCTGGAGAGTGTATCCACTCCCGGGGGGACACCTCTCTAGGGAGACCCCTTTCCTGGCCACACTGGCAGGGTCAGAATTCTCCCTCGGGCTGCAGGGGGTATGGTGAACTTGAAGACCATCTCGCCTGCAGGTCCAGGAAGCCATGGCGCCTCTTGGGGTTGGGAGAGGTGACAGGTCCACTTACAGGTGGAAACTTGATCCTGTGTTGTCACTACAACCCGCCCTCCATGAGAAGTGGCTCAGGTCACCTTCAAGAAAGGCAGAAGGGGAACACGGATGAGTCTCTTTGGGATGCTCCTTTATCTGCTCAAGTTAGTGCCACCCATAAACATCTCCCGCGAGGCCGAGCTCCTGGCCAGTTGTGGGGAGGATGGCATCTGTGACCTGGGGGTGGGCTCTTCCATGTCCTGGGTCTGCTCTAGCCATAAGGTGAGGGTCAGAGTCACACGGATGGGGACGTGAGAGGGGTACAGTTCTAGCTTTCGAATTTGCAGATCCCAGAGGCGGTTGTGCCAGTGCCCAAGCCCAAAGGAAAGGAAGGAGGTCACTCAAAGTCCCCAACTCTCCTTAGGAGAACAGAGGACACTAGGGAAGTTGGACTCACCACAGAGGTACTCACAGGTGGGCCCAAGGAAGTCCGAGGACCAACTGGATCCCTGCGGAGACTCAGGTCCATCTTCCCAGCACGAAGAAACGTGTGTGTTAGAAAACTGGGACAAATGACAGCCAGGCTGGCCTAGGCTGGTTTCGGGGTCTGAAGGACGTGGGAGTCTGTTCCCTTCTTGCATGGCTCATTTTACCGCTCCCTCTAAGTCCTCCTGAGTTAGACACGGTCTATTTGCAGGGGCCCCACAGAACCTTCTAATGGTCCCCTCTGTTGGCCATTCCATTGCCCTGAAAAGACGTCTCTAGGGTCAACTAGGATTCATTACTGCTCTCCTTTAAGAAGCCCCAGGCAACGGAAGTGGCTGCATTTTGTTTTCCCAAATTCATCTTTGAAATGATGGGTTGATCCTCAATAGAGTTTGGGAACAGATTTTGAACAAGTGACTTGGGGATACACTCAAAAGAGAAAGCGGTGAGCCGTGTGCGTCTTCTGTGCGCATGGAGAGCGCCATGCCAGACCCCACTCTGTTTTTGGTTTGCAGATGGGGAAACTAGAGTGGCGACTGAGGGGGGGTCATGAGCCTGGGTGGGGATGACGGGTGGGCGGGCTGCACACTCTTCCTTGATCTCCCTCTGTTACCTATGGGTCCTACCCCCCACACTGCCAGGGTGGATGCTGGATCTGAGGGCTCCCCTGTGCCTTCGAGGTCCCTGCACGGGTGTGGGCCAGGTGTGTTAGAAGTGAGCTTATAGGAGCTGGTGCGGTGAAGCACGCCTGTCATCCCAGCAGCTCTGGAGGCTGAGGCAGGAGGATCTCGAGTTCAAAGCCAGTCTCAGCAACATCGAGGCCCTAAGCAACGCAGTGAGACCCTGTCTCTAAATAAAACACAGAATATGGCTGGAGATGGGGCTCAGTGGTCAAGGGCCCGGGGTTCTATTCCTATCCCCCCCCCCAAAAAAAAATGAGCTGTAGTTGTGTCGAATCAGGTTTGGATATTCTGAAGACCAGGCTGGTGGGTCCCAGCAAGATGTGCGGTAAAGAAGATGGAACTGTAAGGATGAGCTCAAACCCCACCCAGGTCGCTTAACAGCATCAGTGAACAGCCATCATTGTTTCTCATTGTCACTTTATCTGAGCAACGATGATGATACCATAGACACCACAGCCTGAAAATGAAAGGAGGTGACCAGTGTACTAATAAAAATGTTCTGAGCCCTTAATAAGCACCAGTCACTGTGCTGAGGACCCTCCCTTATTTGGTCCACACGATATTATAATGTGGATTTTGCTTTATTATTTCCACTTGAAGGAATAGAAACCGAGTCCCAGGTCACACCTGGTTGGTGCAGGGACACATTGAAATTCAAACGCAGTCTGGTTTAGAGACCAATGGAATGTTCTGGCAAAGTGGTTCTCCAGCTTGCACGTGCATTAGAATTCCCTGGGGGTCCTGTTAAAATGTGGATCTCTGGTCTTAGAGTGTCCGGGTCAGGAGCATCGGGCCACCCCAGAGTTTGCATTTCTACCATTTTCCCAGATGACGCGGTTGGTACTGGACAGGGTGTCAGCAGAATCACACTCCAGGGCCAGTTTTCAGTCTCCCTATCTTAGAAGAGACTAGGGATTAAGGAGAGGGAAGTTAAAACTCTGAGCGTTCCCAGGACGAACGGTGTGTATTAGGGGCAGAGCCCCAGCGTGAAGTCACACACCTGGGTCCCATCCTGGCTCCGCCGCACCCGAGTGCCTGTCCGGCAAGGTTACCCGAGAGGCCCACCCCGAGCCCCGCGACTTCAACCCTCGGCGCGGCCAGGACCTCTCCCTTCCCTCCCTTTAACGCTAGGTTCAGGTTTCTGTCCCCAGGTGTGCGCGCTTCCAACCCGAGCACGCCTACCCAGCCCGAGCTCTCGCCGGCCGAGTCCGGCCCTGCCGCGTTGCCATGGCAGCGCCGCGGGCTGGGAGGCTGGAGGCTGAGCGCACCGCCCAGCTCGCCCCTTTGTGCTGTGGGGGCGGCGGCGCGCTCCCCCCAGGCCCGGCAGCACCTCGCCTCCGAGGCCCAGGACTCTGGGGCGGGAGGACGGGGAGCGAGCGCGGGGCGGCAGGGGCGCGGGGAGCAGGAGGGGGGCAGAGGCGAGGGCGGGGTGGGGCGCCTGCGCCGGGCAGCCGCTCCCGCATTAAAATTTCATGGGCGCCGCAGCAGCTACAAAGACGACGCCGGCTGCGCCCGGGGACCGGAGGGAGGGAGGCTGCGGACGAGCGCGGGGAGGAGTTTGCGAGGGGAGGCGCTTGCAGGGGCTCCCCCAGTTCTGCACTGTGAGCCGGGGCACAAAGCCCTCTGCACTCCGCCGCAGGACCGCGGAGCCCAGGTAAGCCGGGCCCGTCCTGACAGCCCTCGCTCGCCAGCGCGGGCTCTAGCTTAATCCTCCGAGGTCCCACGTTCCCAGGGCAGGGTCCAGGGGGTGACAAACGCCGTCTGGAGCACCCCGCATTTGATGGATGAAGAGGCGCCCAGCCTGCGGTTGTCCCTGCGGCCAAGTCTCCAGCCCGGCTGGGGCGTGGGGAGGGAAAGGGGAAAGCGCTGGGTGTCCGGGGAGGAGGGGACCCTTGCAGTCGTGATCAGAGGGGGAAACAAAGACCCTCCCATTCCCCCCAGGACCAGACAAACGCGAGGGTGGAGGACCCCAAACACCTCTGACCACCAGGAGTAGGTAGCTGGCCAAGCCAGCGATTGAGCCCAAGTGGTCTTGGAACTGCAGGGTGGGGTGGCGGGGCGGGGTCCTTGAGCTCCCCTTCCTGCATACCCAGCCCCCCACCCCCAGCGCCTGCCATTCCTTCACTTCTGGGACTCAGATCCCAGAGGTTTAGCATCCAATGCGGTTCCTAAAGGATAGAGAGGGCCGGTCATCCATCTCAGAGAATAATAATAACGATATTGTTCATGATGAAAGATCCTACATCAGTTTGTGGGGCACTTACTCTGTGCCCAAAGCCTGCTCTGTGCTCCGCATGCATTATCACAACAGTCCCACGAGGTGGCAAGAACCTCATTTCAAAGATGAGGAAATGGAGATCCAGAGAGGTTTAGCGACCCATCCAAGGTCACACAGCAGTGATTTTGAGTCCAGACAGGACGGACTCTAAAGCCATTTGCACCTTTAAAAGGCCCCCCTTCCCTGAGAGACCCCGGGACCCACTCGCTCTACTCCCCATCTCTCCTGGCTCTAGTACGCTTGCTGGAGAGGCTGGGAATTTGGGAGGGAAGGGATCAGATCTTCTTTCTTCAAAGCAGGGCCCTAAACTAGAGAAATTGTTTCTCGGACTGGGCAGCCCGAGGCTGGATTAGGAGCTCTGGATTCCCCTTTCTCGTCCCAGGCTCCAGACCAGAGGCTGCGGTGCGCCAGGAATTGCTGGCGCGCACACCCCACTGCGGTACCGGGGCGGGGAAATCGCCCCCACCTGCTGCGGAGGTGGAGTGGGAGTGTGGGGGGGGAGCCCGGGGGGAGAACTTGCGGGAAGCAGCTTTGTTTTGCTGGGTGCCAGCCGCGGGTTCGGCGCGGTCCAGAACACAGCCCTCGCTCTGGGCACTGCGCTTTCTTCCCAAAGCGCGTTCGTATTTGGGGGAGCACCTGGGTGCGCGGCGATCTCCTGGGAAGGGGGGCGGGGAGACGCCGGCACAGATGAGTAATTCTACTTGACAGACGGGGAAACCTGAGCTCCGCGGGGCCCAGACTTGAGGGGCGTTGCTTCCAACACGCAGATGTCCCGGCCACGTGGCCAGAGGGATGCGTCAGCAGATTCGGGGTGGGGCCGGGCCTCTGGGTGTTTACTCGCAGCCCCTCCTCCTCCTCCGCAGCCGGCAGGTGGTCGGAAAGGCGCGCACCCCCAGCCCGGACCGGGCAGCCGTCTGGGCAAACGCTTTCCTCGGGCCACTTTGTCATCTCCTAGCTTTGAGGGACATGGAACCCGTCCCACCTTGAGTTTTGCTTGATTTCAGGTCACCTCCAGCCGCCCCCCCCCCCCCCCGTGTGATTCTCCAGGGCCGCTGGAGAGCGGTTCCCAAATCTACCCCACATCTTCCTAGCCATCTTAGCCCGTCTCCCCACCCCTTAGACGGATCGGAAGCCTCGGAGTCCTCCAAAGGCGCCATAACCCTGTGTCACCCGCTTTAGGAGACTCACTCTCTCTGTTTGATTTAAAAATGAGTTATTTTTATTTTTTGGTGATTATTTTGGGTACAGATCTAGTAAATTTAATAAAATACATAATTACTGAAGATTTGAAAAAGTCAAACACAAGGGAAGAAATCTCCATTTTCTTGAATTTCTCTCTGATCTGTTCTCTATGACTGGGAATAATCACCCACACTGTACTGTGTTCTGCTTGACAGGGTGACATCAGCTCTATCTCTTTGTGATATTATGATCTTTGCAGAAATCATTGTAAGAGACGCTAGCGGTTCCTGGAGGAGAGGAACGTGCCCTACTCCTCAGCTTCCCACTTGCCCGCCTGCCAATCATTTCCATCCCTCCCCTCCCCCCACCGACAGTTTCCATTCCCTTTCCCAGACCTGATCCATGCTTCTTCCCAGGGCAGGATTCTTCTTTGTGAGTTGATTCATCCATGCAGGGCACCTCGGGGGTCAGAGAAGGAGTGGAGAGTTACAAATCTGTGAGTCTTTCTCTCCATCTGGGTCATTTCCCTCCTCTGAGACTCAGTCTCCTCATCTGTGAAGTGGGAAGGAATCATGACCCCATTTCAGGGGCTGTTGTGAGGCTGTGGGCCAATGTGTGTGAGGTGACTGATACATGGTAGGTGCTGTAAAGATAGCGGATGTCACCAGGCACCACTGGGTGCCAGCCCTGTTCACTTACCATGCACCTGGTTCTTGCACACATACTTGGTACTTTGCTTTTCTTTCCACTGAGCTGTTGGTGGCCTCCTGGGTGATTCTTGGCCGTGTTTCTGGGGCACTGGGCTCATTGTGCAGGTTCAATGCGCTGGTGAATAACTTAAAACCTAGCCCTTTGTTCCCAAGGGACCCTTCCCTTGTCTCTGAGGCCTGGCTCATCTGTCACTCAGCTGCATAGAACAATAGCTCAAGAGGCACAATCTGGCTGAGGGTGACATCTGTCTCCCCGTCCCTTTCTGCTCTGATCCCATTGGATGAGGCAGGTGTCCCCTTCTTCTCTGTGGTGCCAGGTGAGCCTCGGTGGAAGCGGATGGGTGAGTCACGGAAGGGAGGGAGGGAGGGAGGGCCTGGCCTCTTGTGGAGTGGGTGAGGGAGGAGAGCCAACCTCAGCTACCAGAAAGAACCCTTTGCCAAGGGCCTTGCTGGGTGCTGCCTCCTGGGCAGCTTGCGATAAGGCTGGCAGTGAAGCAGGACAGGGGAAACACTGAGGTTCAGAGAGGTGAAGTGACTTACTCAGAGTCACACAGCCATCAGCCTCAGAATCAGGATTCAGACCTGGCTCTTGTCTGACTCTGGACTCTATGTTTATAACTTCCACCCCGTGCCACCTCTCCCCTTAAAGGGAACTTAATCAGTTGCCACTGGAATAACAGGATCCTCCCAGATGACTTAGCAGTCGGGGCCAGTTTCCTCGCCGCAGGGTTGTGGCCTGGGTTTTGTGGGTTGTAGGGACCTCACTTGGATCTTTTCTCCTTTACTCCCCACCCCCAAATTCAAACCTATTTTCTTCCCCTTTGGGGTCCCGGGGGTCTGTTTAGAGCCCCAGCTGAGCCATTTTCTAGCTGGGTGACCTTGGAGCAAGGCCCTCCCCGCTGGGTTGGCCCTTCTGTAAAACGGGATACAACCTGGCGCTCAGGCCCGTCCTGTAGATGAAGGTGGCCGTGACGCCTGTGTACTTCCTGTGTCTCCGTTTAGTTTTTCCTTCCTCTTTCCTCACTTCGGGGGTCCTCTTTTGGGGGGGCAGGGTATTTCGGATCTCCTCTCTGATGGCTGCACATTTGGGGCTTCCCCCTCCTCTGTAGAAGCACCTCTGTCCCCCAGCCGGCCCCTCCCTCGGGGCCTCTGTTGTCCCTGGGCTCCGAGGCCGGATCTCTGAGTCCGGAAAAAGCCCCAAACCCAGAGGGATCCCGAAATGCAGCCCCTGCGTGTGTCCCTCACGCTGCTCCTCGTTCCCAAGATGAGTGGCCCTGGTTGGGGGAGGGGGATGTTCCCCCGATGATGGGGCTGAACACTGGGGACCATGGAATCGTCGTGACCTAAGAGACAGGAGAGCTGGCCACGGGGTGAGACCCACGTTGACTGGACGCTCCTGCAGCCTTGGCCCAGCGGCTGCCCCAGTTTTGTGGATGAGAAGACTGAGGCTCAGAGGGGGGTGGGTTTGCTCAAGGTCACACAAGGCCCAGGGGACCTCCCAAGGTGTGTTTGGGTGTTTGATTGACACTGGCCCAACCAAGAGACCTTCCGGGTTCCTTTGTTTGCCTTTGACCTGCATCCGGATCAGTTTTGGCAAACGTGGTGATGTCATAGTTAATACTAATTAATTACTTAATTTAATAATTATTAAGAATTAGTAATGTGCATTATTCTCCCACCTTACCTAATCACTGGCTCACTCCTGTCCCTCTCTCTCTCTCTCTCTCTCTCAATGGCAGCTGGAGGCCTGTCTCTGCTCACCCACGTGGTTCCGGACACGTTCATGCAGCCGCACTGACCTGGTGGCATCTGAGGAGTACCCAAGGTGACCCTCCAGTCTCCTCCGAGTGTGCCAGGTACACAGTGAGGTCAGGTCAGAGGCAGGTAGCAGCCCCTCCCTCCAGGCTTTCCCGATGGGCTCCCTGGGGGCCCCCATCCATGTGGCCTAGGTGTACATCCGGGTAACCGTCACCACAGCAGGATAAAGCACATCACCCTGGAAGGTCCCTATCTCGTGCCTGTCAGGCCCCCTGAACCCCTAGGAGGCCACTGACCTGCTTGCTGGGATTCTGGGCCCGACTTACTGTTCTCAGTCTCCACATGTGGAATCTTCCGCGGTTAGCTCCTCAGGCTCAGCCTACTGGCTTGGAGGTTCCCCATGTCACCCTCGATGTTTCTGTAATTTGTTCCTTTCTGCTGCTGAGTAGATTCCACTGTGTGGGTGGGCCCCCACTCGCTTACCCATTCGTAGGGGATTTGAGGGGTTTGTGCTTTATCCTCACTGCCCCTAGGGGGCAATATAATGCCCCAGGAGAAATATGGTCCTTATTTCTGGAACACAAGTCTCACACAAAGGTCTACTCAAAGCTTAAATCACTGGTTGGTAGAAATAATGAAATCCCTCCTATGTGCCAGGCACCGGCCAAGCTTTCCCAATAATTCACTTTGACTTACAGACTGAGCCCGTGGGGACGGGGAGGCAGGATCGGCTCACCTCCTCTCCAGGTCAGCCCCAGCTCAACCCAGGAGCTGAGTCCCCCTTGAAACCTCAGATGTGTTAATGACATTAATGACATCAAGGATTCCGGGTCCACAGGCCAGGACCAAGGGTGACTGTGGGTCAAGCAGTGCTCCTCTGAGCAGCTCGGGGTCTGTTTACAGAGTGGCAGCAAGTTCCTGGGACGAAGAGGAGAGAAGGGAATCTCGAGCCCGTCTAGGGTGCGGCAGGCCACACGGTAGAGCAGCCTTGCAGATAAGTATTCAAATCTACCAGCCCGTGGCCCACCGGCCCCGGCCCTCCACCTGCCTTCCCTGGTCTGTATAGGAGAATGGAGTGTCCTAGAATCCCCAAGAGGGAGGGGAAGTCGGGGAGGAGAGGAGGCTCTACTTTTATTTCAGGAAGAAAGAGCTTGTTCCATTTTATGGGCCTCAAAAAAAAAGGTGATTTTCACACCCCACTTCTGCATCTGAGCTAGTGTTTTATAACCTGCTGTCAGGAGCTTTTATATAGCTGAGTTAAATGACTTCATCTCTGTCCCTGTAGGTCTGCTGTTAGTAGGGGGCTGGGGACTTCCTGGCGATTTGGACTGGCCCATATCTTCTCAGTGGCCTTTGGTGGCCACATTCCTGAGCTTGGCTAGGGGCCCTTGGCCTTGCAGTGAAGTGTGGACGGCAGCTCGGCCCCCGTGGGACACACTCTTGTTAGTGTCAGGTCTGAGCTGGTGCCTGCCCCAAGTCCCAGGTGCCACAGTGAGCTCTGAAAATATGCCAAGAGGGTCCTCCGAGTCCCCTGGCTCAGGCCACTGGTGGACGGTGATCACACAGCTGGTACCAAGAGCAAAATTCAGGATTTGGAGAGTGGGCATTCCCGGGCCCTCTCCAGGCTGTGCACATAGGGTGGCCCTACAGGCGTCCCCCCTCCACCCCTGAGCTCCCCAAGCTGCTCCTGCTGCCTGGCACATCAGGGAAGGGCGGGGGCCCTCTGTCCTGTGCTCCCTCTGAGCTGCACTGCCGGGGAGCGGGGAGGTGGGGACAGGGTCACTGCCCACTTCCCGGACTCACTAAGGACGTCTGGGGTGGATGGAAGGGAGGTGGCGGCCCAGCCTCCCTGGCTCCGAGTGGCCAGGCTTGGGCCTGGGGAGGGGCCTGGGTGCAGTTCTCTCCTGCGGTGTGGGTGCCCTTTTTTGTCTTCCAGGATGGGCCCGTGGGGTCAGCGTGGGGAGGAGCTGGGAGCCCGTGGCCTTGGCTGGGTGCTCCAGGTAACCCCGGGCAGGGCTGGCGCTGGGGAAGGGAGGGTCTGAGTTCTCCTGCTCGGGAGGAGGCCCGGAGCCAGGGCTGGAAGATGGTTCTGGGGGCCTTGGAGGGGGTGGGTGGGGATGAGTGGAGACCCCCTAGGTGGGCTCAGGCACGGGTCCTGCGGGTTCCCTCAGTCAGCACAGACGCGGGCTAGGTGCCTTCTCCGAGGCGGCTGCTGGGATCCGGAGGTGGACACCAGAGACACGGCCCCTCCTCTCGGATCTCCGGGTGAGCTCCTGCCCTGGGCGGTGTGTGGTGTGTTGGGGACATGGGGTGCAGAGGCCCCTGGGGAACGTTGTAAAGGGAATTCAAGCCACCTGAGGCCCCCAAAGGCCCTGTCCCTCCCTGTCCCTGCCACTTCCCTGCCCAGGATGTGCCTGGATCCACGTGCTGCCTTTCTCTGGTCCCCTGTCCTGCTGGAGTGGGTCACTCATGGCTTCCTTCCTCTTTCTAAATTTCTTCTAAAAGATTTTAGCATCCAAAGCCCTTGCGTCCACCCTCTGTGGCTATTGGGAGCCTGGGATCAGCCTCAGGGTCTCTGGATGTGTGTCCCTTGGGTGGAGGGTGGGCTGGGGGCTGTGGGCCTGGGGTGGAGGCTGCAGCCTCCCCTCCCCCTCCCCTGCTGCAACCCGTCCTCCCCTCCCCCTCCCCAGGCGGCTCTGCCCAGTGCAGCTCGTCCACCTGCTCTGCTCTTTGGTGCCCGGGACTCTGCATCCTGGCTACAGTGACCTCAAGGCTGGGCCACCGCTCAAAGACCTCAGCCTCCCTACCCTTGGGATGGAGCCTCTGGTGGACCAGAGCCCTTCTTGGTAGATGCTCAGCCGACGACCCCATCCTGGCCCTGCGGACTCTCATCTTGCGGGTGTGAGAGGCCATGGCCTCGCTGGCTCCGGCTCCACCTTCGGCTTCCCGCCTGCCCTGAGGGCCGGCCCCCTGGATTTCTCCTCCAGTCCCCTCCAGAGACAGCTGGGCCTGGGCAAGGCCCCCTCCCAGGGCCGGTCTTAAAGGACCCTGCAGGGTGGGGGTGGGGTGAGCTGGGGATGGAGGCCAGTCACCAGTGGGAGGCTGGACGCAGCTCCTGGGCCTTCCCCAGGAGTCTTTTTGGTCCTTGGGTGTTTTCCGCATGGGTGACTGTCGTTTTGGGGAGTGCTTCCTGGTTGGGCTTTTCCAGTGTCTCTCCTTCCCCTCGTGGTTCCAGGGAGGAGGCAGTGGGGGGGGGCGCTGGGCCTTCCCTGTAGGGTGTCCATCCCTGGGAGAGCGTGGGTGTCCTGAAATGAGAGGGCTTCTCAGCGACACCCAGGCCGGGAAGCCTGTGGACACGGCCAGACAGCTCTGGGTCGCAGTCCTCCGTCCAAGGAGGCCCAGCCTCCCCCAAGCCTTCTCAGGCCCCCGGGGCTTCCCGGGTCCTTGGGGGCGGAGGCTTGCGGGACAAGTGGCTCCTTGCCTGACCCTGTCCCACGTCCCATTTCCCCTAGGCTCCCCTCCTCTGATGGCAGTCCCTTCCGGAGGGGACATCCCAGCACTTGCAGGAGAGCCCCGGTAAAAGCCGGAAGTTGTCCTCCCAGGGCGGGAGGTGGCCGGATTCCTCCGCGGGACTGCAGGTGCCAAGTCACAGTGCTGGAGGCGGGGCCGTCAAGTCCAGGAAGGGGCCTCTCCACTGTGTCCTCACATGGCCTCTTCTCTGTGGAGGGACAGCAAGCAAGCTCAGGTGTCTCTTCCTATAAGGACACCAGTCCTGTGGAGTCAGGGCCCCACGCCTGACCTCATTTCACCTTAATTGTATCTAAATGTGCTGTCGCCAAACACAGGAACACCTGGGGGTTAGGGATTCAGCCTGGGGGTTCGGAGACACCTCTGAGTTCCAGAACAGGGTGGTCAGCACAAGCAGGGCTCATCTGCCTTTTGGAATGCCCACCCCGCAGGCAGGAGATGAGCAGGCAGGTGTTGTGCTAGGGTGGCCGCGGATGCCTCGGGACATGCAGGACTAGAGGGACAGAGGGCAGGGAGCAGGGAGGGCCTGGAAGGAGGCATGGCTCCAGGAGAGCTTGGGTCTTGAAGCCAGATCGGTTCTCAGGTGCGCCCCCTGCTGTACAGCCATGGGCAGGTCACCTTGGCAGCGTGAGCCCTCCGCACCAGGAGCACTCAAAGGTGTGGGCACAGTGTGGGAGCCCTTAGTAGGTGCTCAATAAACACTCCAGCCCATCTAGATTTAGGATCAGTCTCATGTTGGCATGGCCGACGGTGAAACTCGGCATCTTCTGATCCAGAAGCATTTCTGGTTCCATGTTCCTCTGCCTGCTTCCCTAATACCCCTTTCTCAGCAGCTTGGGATGTGGTCACATTTCATGGCCTCCAAAGTAGCTCCAAAGTAGCTCGCTGCGTTTCCTGGGGGAAATTCCTCTCGTTAGAATTGAACACCTACTTTGGGCTCTTTCTTGTGCCAGCCTTTTGGGGGACGATAGGTCAAGATCTGGCTACGGGTCCAACCTTGAGGATTGCCTAGTCATGATGCAGGAGGGGACACAGCCAGCTCCCATGGGGAACTGGAGGGCTGTCTATGTCATAATGGAGTCTGTTGAGGCCGAGGCTCTGAGCGCCCAGAGGTGGGGTGGAGTGGGAGTGGGGGGCTACAGGCTGGAGAGGCTAGGCTTCCTAGCAAGCCAGGGCCTTGGAGGGTGAGCAAGTCGTGGCTTATCTGAGAACTTCTAGGGAGAAACTAGAGAAAGATTCTCCAGTGTCGCAGCAGGACTCGTCAGAGCCTTGACGATGTTAATGAGGACAACGGATATTCAAGGAGCCCATAGAAGAAGCATTCCCTGACTCCCGGGGCCACAGAATCCTTTTCTCACAGAGCATCATTAGAACTGTGGGAGATGTCAGGCTGAGTTTTGGGGGGAGACAGAGGGGGACAGGAGATGACATGACTAGGGTACACTCGGGTGCTTTGAAATTTGGCTGGAAAGGATGCAGACGGGGAGGGACTGGGGAGTCTGAACTTGGTTCCGGGGCCAAGGTTGGTGCCATATTTGTAGGGGTGAGGCGGGGGCAGACTAGCATTGGGAGCAGCCAGGGCCCTGGCAGCGGGTGATGGAAGAGACGTCCACCAAACAGGGGGCTGTGGGAGGTCAGACCTTTTGTGGAAGGACGCTGGTGTGTGTGTGTGTGTGTGTGTGTGTGTGTGTTTTCACACATCAGCTCTCTGGGAAGGGGCTGACCGGATCCAGGCAGGGGGTTTCCACTCAGAACAGCAGGGTCCATTTTCAGGGGAACTGAAAATGTTTGGGGGGAGACGGTCTTTGAGACCCACAGACAAGGAATAGGGACTCATGATGCTTTGGGGCAGGGTCCGGGTGGCTAGGCTAGATCCTGGTGGGGTGGAGGGGTGAGGTGGCAGACCCCCTGCCCTGGTCAGGCCCATGCCCAGGCTGGGGGGGTCAGGAGGCCCTGGAGCGCCGCAGGAGGCCCCGGGCAGCATGGCATGGTGTGATTAACCTACTAACCCAGGGCTCGGCCGGGACACTGTGGCGTGTGATGAGGTGCCTGGCCTTCTGCCCAACCACTAACCCACTAACCAGGCCCGAGCATGCCCTACTAACCCCGCAGCCAGACCCTACTAACCGTGCAGCCCATGGGCCTTTTCAGGGGCTGGGACGTGGGTGCAGACGAGGCTCCGGAAGTCCCTGCCAGGGCTGGGATCTCTGTGCAGACCCAGGGTGCAGGACGGGGCGTGCAGATAGGCCTTAACCCGCTCTACTGCTTCCTCCACACCCCAATTCTTCCCTTGCTGGTTACAGTGAGGGTGCTCCCTAATATGTCAGCCTTGGTGCATGGCAGATACTTAAAAAATACAAAAAGGTGGGGGTGGGGGTGGGAGGCTCCGGAGACCCCATCACGCCCCCGCCTGGCCTGGTCTCTCTGGGTGTTCTGCACAGAGACCCTCTGCCCGGGGCTGGGCACGTCCCTTCCCACTTCCTCTCTCTCTCCCCCAGCTTTCCTTTCGTAGACGGCTCTTTTGTTCGATTACTAACTTGTCTAACCTGGGGGTGCCTCCGCTGCACCCCGACGCCCCTTCTTGAGCTCTAGACCTGTGTGTGTCCCCCCTTCTCTCCTAGCGGCTCCCGTGTCTGTCTGCTGAGGTGCCCTGTGCGCTGATGCTGTGCTCTGACTACTAACCCGGCCCTACTAACCCGTTCTCTACTAACCCAGCCCTGCCGAGCTCTGGGCCCCCCACTGGGGGCTGGTCCCCCTCCTTTTGGCAAGCAGATGTCCCACTCTGCTGCCTCATGTGGGCTTCTTGGGAGCGCAGAGTCCACCAGGCCAGGTCAAAGGCAGGGGACGGTCTTTTGGACCTGGCCCGGAGGAGGCTGAGGTGGTCCTGGGCCGTGGGGGGCTGGGCTGAGCGCCACCTTGCTCCTCTGCGGAGAAGTCTGGTTGCCCCTGGGAGAGGCGGGCCGGGGAGCCCTCTGGGTGTGAGTGTGGAGGCCTGTGGGTCCGGAGTGTGCAGGTCTGGGCTTTCCCCAGGCGACAGTCGGGACAAGGGGCCTGTGGGTCCTTCCCTGCAAGGAGGCCAGGTAGAGCTTTCTGTTGGGCGGGAACCATCTTGCACAGGAAATCAAGGGGTGGGGGTCATGACCCAATTCGGAAATCCTTAGAGGGGCCTGTCCCAAGCTGTAGCCGGCAGAAGGGAGTGTCCACAGCCAGCTGAGACCTTGCTAAAGAGGAAGGCGGTGGAGAGGGTCTTTCCCACGCTGCAAGGGAAGCGTCCAGGACTCAGGACCTCAGGGAGGGAGGCGTCCCCGGGGAATTGGGACCGGAAGTCAGAGAGAAGGCATCCCTGACCACGAGGCTGGAGAAGGCTGCTCAGCGGTCAGCGGAAGGGCCCTCTTCCCCTAGGAAGTCCGCTAGAGCGGCCTCTCTCCATGGCAGGAGGGAGGAGGAGTGAGGCTGCCCAAGGACCTTGTCCCACACCCAGAAGCTAGGGGGCGCCAGCTGCCCGCGTGGTTAGGAAAGCAGGCCCGCAAGGACTGGAGTTTGCAGGGGAGGGAATCCCAGGGACGCCATCCCCAGCTCCCTGCCCAGCCCCGGCCCCAGCCAGCCTCCCCCAGAGCCCGCCAGCTGCTAAGCCGGGGCCACACCTGGGGGTGACGTCATGCCTCACCTCCAGTAGGCACCTTGGTCTCTTGCACTAACTCTTGCTCTTGCCCAGCTAATCCCTGCCTGGCCCTGGCTGCCCAGGGGCTGACCACTAACAGCCAGCCCTGCCCATCGGTTGGGGTGGGGCGGCTCCAGGCTCCGGGCCTGGCTTTGGCCGGCTCTCAGCTCACCTCTCCTTCTCCTTGACTAACTCCTGCCTCCCTGGTCTGTTCCTTTTAGCAGAAACTAATGGCTTGCGGATCCCTCTTGGACTAACAACGGGTCTAACCCTTCTCCTCACTGTGACCATTAACAGCTTGGTGTCAGCATGGCTGCCAGGGGCTAACCCAGGTTTGGAACTTGACTAACACAGTGTTAGGTGCAGCTGGTGATGTCGCTCTCGGTGACCTCTCCAGGTCAGGGCAGTTGCTGTCAATCATGCTCCTGGTTCTCTAAAGGAGATGCCAGGGACAGGGTGTGGCGATGGTGGCCCACGGAGGTGGGGTTAGACGTAGAGTCGGCCTTCCAATGTTTTGGCCACTGGATAGATTCTGTTAACCCCTCCTAATCTGTTTGATTTCAGTCCTTCTAAACAGTAGTCACACAGTCTTTACAAGTTGAACCTCAAAACGCGTTTGGGGGTACAGAGGGTGTGTTGTTACGTATGAAGCCAGATTAGGGCCTACAGTCCCTGTTTGGGGGACTTGAGGGTTAGCCCTAGGACATAAAGCTTCAGATAGAAGCATTCAGAAGGATCATACTTCTATCAGCCATTTACACTGTAGTGTAAATTAGCTTGGCATCTTCTAATTTCCAACTCTTCTCACCTAATTGTAAAGCGAGATCGCCACAGGAGGTCTTTGGCTGGCAGGGAGTTTGGATCTCTGTAGGGCTGCGGGGAAGGTTGTTTGGGATCAGAGAGCCGAGAAGGTGCCACCAGGTGGAGATGGGAATGGGAAGCAGGTCTGTGCGGCCTCACTCTGGTAGTCAGCGTTGATGGGAGAGGTCAGATGGTGGCCTGAAGGAATGAAGCTCAGGGACAGTGTCTCAGAGTGGCCTAGAGGCCTTCAGCGTGTGGCTGGGGTCAATGAATGCTGTGCGTGGCTTCTCTGCCATGGCCACAGGCTCACAGCTGGCCATGTGTAGCTGACCACAGGGCCCAAAGGGAGATCCAGAGGCCAGAGCTGCAGAGGACACAGGACAGAGGCCTCAGGAAGAGCGGTCAGGAGGTGCCTTGGTCAGCCCTGCACGGGAAGCTCCGCCTGCGCCCTCTAGCGGCTGCTCCGCCCCGTTTCACCCAAAGCACGAAGCGGAGACCACCTTCCTGTTCAACACCCGCTCCGCGGGGAGACCCTCTATATTCACATTCAGGGGCCCGAGGCTGCTGAGGACCTGGGTGCTGGGACCGCACACGGGCCTTGTCGCCGGTGCTTGCCTGGCTCAGCAGGGCCCGATCTGGGCGTGGGGCGGGGAGGGTCAGCGGGGCTCGTCCTCAGGCCCTTGGGTTCTGGTGCGATGGATTCAGAGGGCAGGTGGGCTGGGGGCACTCCGGGCTGTGGCAGTCAGGGTGGGCTTTCCGAGAGCCAGAGCGAGCCGTGGGAGCTGGACCCCGGCTGGTGGGGCGTGGGTGGAGACGGGTTCCGGCCGACAGGACTGGGGGACCCCAAGCTCTGGGGATCAGGGAGGATGGGGGGGGTTGGGCAGGGGCCAGGTCTTGATGCCAGGACACCTGGATGTCGTGCGCTGGGGAGCCTCGTCTGAGACCCGGAGTGGGCGGTCCAGCTTTAGCCCATCCCTGGGTGGCGCCCCCCAGGTGGGACTCCAGGGAGTGAGGCACAGCTCTGCCCACTTTGTGGCAGACCCGGGGACCCTTGGGTCCCCCTGGAGATACACAGGAGCCACCGCGTACCCAGTGGGAGGTAGTTTTTCTGCCACGACTGAGAGGCACACAGCACCTAGGTGACCATGAGGACTTGGGAGGAGCAGTTTGAAAACAGGACATGCCTGGCGTCCCGTGGCCCGGGGAGAAGATCTGGGGGGACACGGGCGGGCAGCGGGTCACAAATCTACAAGGGACTCTCTTGTGTGCCTGTGCCGGGGGAGGGGAGGCAGATGACCGTGTCCAGGAGGCTGATCCTGGTCCCAGAGGGGAAAACACATCTCAGTGGGTAAAATGAAGCTCCTGTCCCTGGAGGCAGGAGGGTCGGGCCTAGGCCAGGCCCACAGCGAGGGAGGTCTTGCAAGTCCAGGAGCCTGTGTGTGTGTGTGTGTGTGTGTGTGTGTGTGTGTTCCTTTGGCTAATGCCAGAGGCCACAGCCCAACCAGGCACATCATCGAGTGTCGTAGACCGGAGCCTGCAGAGGCCCGTCCACTCTGCCCCGAGGTCCCCTCCCATAGGGCTTGCTGTGACTGCACTCTGAGGGAGGGACTGGGCTCCCGGGCTGACGAGCTGTCCTTCCCCGTCTGTGTTTGGGAAGGACCCACCTGACCTGCCCGAGGGCCGTGCTGGGGTCAGTGGGGAGTGCTCAGAGAGGGAGGCGGGTCCCATGGCCACCGAGGAGCCCAAAGACCCCCGTCCCCCAAGAGTGGCCCCTGAGAGTCTTCCGAGACCCGCTGTTTTACTTCCAGAGACGGGAAGATGTGTTGGGGTTCGGCGTCTTCACCTCTGAATGTGGGCCCCGAAATTCTGCTGTCGATTAAAAATCAGATTCTCGCATGGATCCGGCCTCGGCGTCACTTGTGTTTTGGGCTGTCACATGAATGTAGCCGCTTTTGTGTAAAATACCATTTTGATATTAAAGGTCGAGTCCCACCCAGAGGAAGGCTGAGGACGCGACAGGGGGGAGGCGTGTTCTGGGTGGGAGGGGCTGCCGGTGGCACTTTCGAGGGCAGGGGCGGGCTCTGTGGGAGAGCCGGGCTCTGGAGACCGTGACCTGTGAAATTCTTAGAACGGAGCACCTATTTTTATTTTTAAATTTCTTTTATTATTTTTAAAAAATAATTTTTGGATGTTAATGGACCTTTATTTTATTCATTTATTCGTACGGTGCTGAGAATTGAACCCAGCACCTCTCACATGTGAGGCAAGCGCTCTACCACTGAGCCCCAGCCCCAGCCCCCTATTCTTAAGTGTACTGAAATGTGTGTAAGGTAAGATTTACCATCTTAACCATTCTTGAGTGAATCATCCAGTGGTATTAAGTATTTTTGCCTATTCCTTCAGCCTTCAGCAGCTTTGTTTTTTTTTAAAAAAAATTATTTTTGGTTCCTGGTAATTGAACCCAGATTTGCTTAACCCCTGAGCCTCATCCCTGCCCTATTTTGTGTTTTATTGAGAGACAGAGTCTCACTGAGCTGCTTAGCGCCTTGCTTTTGTGGAGTCTGACTTTGAACTCGAGATCCTCCTGCCTCAGCCTCCCGAGCCCTTGGGATGACAGGTGTGGGCCACCTTTATTTATTTTTATTTTTTAGTACCTCAACTTTGTGCTCAGCTGAATCCGTGCTGTGAGATCTTGGGTGTTCCTCCTCTCCTCTGAGTCTCCCTCTGACCTGGACGTGGGGGCTGCCCTCTCACCTGGTAGGATTGTCGTGGAGGCTCACAAGGGCTCCCCCAGAGCTGAGACAGGGCCTGATGCCCCCCCAGGGTTCCACTGAAACCTCATTCTAGGTCAGCATTAGGGTGGAGGCCACTGGATGATTCACTCAAGAATGGTTAAGAGGGGCTGGGGATGTGGCTCGGGCGGTAGCGCGCTCCCCTGGCATGCGTGCGGCCCGGGTTCGATCCTCAGCACCACATACCAACAAAGATGTTGTGTCCGCCGAGAACTAAAAAATAAATATTAAAAATTCTCTCTCTCTCTCTCTCTCTCTCTCTCTCTCTCTCTCTCTCTCTCTCTCTCTCTCTCTCTCTCCTCTCTCACTCTCTCTTTAAAAAAAAAAAAAAAAAAAAAAAAAAAAAAAAGAATGGTTAAGATGGTGTTTCTTCTGTTACACGTATTTCAGTCAATTAAAAATAAGAAGGGTCGGGGGAGGTGAGGAGAAGCTGGGTGGGAAGGGAGGCCCTCCCAGAAGAGGCAGCCCTTGAGGGAAGCCTTGGGGGTTGGGAGAAAAGCCAGTCGTTGAGGGAGAGGAAGCAGCTCTGGTGGTGCAGCGAGTTTTGGAGTGGGCCCTTCAAGATTCACTGGAGGGGCTGGGGATGTGGCTCAAGCGGTAGCGCGCTCGCCTGGCATGGGTGCGGCCTGGGTTCGATCCTCAGCACCACATACCAACAAAGATGTTGTGTCCGCCGAGAACTAAAAAATAAATATTAAAAAATTCTCTCTCTCTCTCTCTCACTCTTAAAAAAAAAAAAAAAGATTCGCTGGAGTTCTAGAGGAGGTGGATGTTGGTGGACATTCCCCGGATCACAGCCTGAGCCAAGAGCAGGAGCTGACCAGTGTGGCTGTGCTGGGGGCACGGTCACAGGATCTGGGAACCTCCTAGGATGGCCGAATGCCGCAGTCTGGCTGGGCACAAAATCACGAGCCACTCAAGCAGGAACAAACTTTATTTTTGAAACTGCCGCCAATACCCCATACACGCCCCGGGAAGAAACCAATCCACACACTCAGCGTTCTCCCGGAACCCCAGTTCCTCCCCCGGAATTCCCTCCTACTGTACTTCCCCAACCAATGGGAACTCTCCAGGAGTCCTAGCAGGTTGAGGTGAACAGCAGGAGTCCAATATCCATATGAATGCAGATCTTAACATAATCGTGTCATCTCAATGGCTAGCTGGTGTCACCTTTCAACCAAAAATGCCATGCATCATATTACTTGGCTGTGACTCTTAGCTGAACCCAGGGCCAGGGCAAGCAAGTGCCTTCCATTTGGAGGGTGGAGGAGGGAGAGAGGCCAATGGTTTGGGGGAAGCACTGGACACTGGACTGGGGGAGAAGGGAGCCTGGGATAGGGGCAGAAGCAGAACTGGAGCACCCAGCACAGCCCCTAACGCCTGGGCACACACAGGTGTCTACACATCAGCTCCAAGGGCCCGAGGCCTCTGGGATTTTGTGCAGCAGAAGTGGACACCTGTCCTGGGCTGAGGCTCAGGTCTGCCACTGTCCTGCCTGGCGACCTGGGGGGCGGGGTGTCTGTCTATGGGCTTCTCCCGAGAGGGAGTGCAGCTACTGAGGGCACCTTCAAGACCCTCCTGCCCTTGAAGGACGGACAAGAAGATGCCTGGCTCCCTCCTCCTCCCCGCAGCGGCTCCTAGCTGCCTGCCAGGGTCTCCTCGGTCCTCTCCCCTCTCTTTCCTTCCCTGCATTCACCCAGAAGCTGCCTCCCAAGAGCTTCCTCCATGATGGACATCGCAGGCCCTGGGGTGCCGGCTGGGGGGGACCTTGGCTACACTAACGCACACGTTGGTTCTCTCCTGAGCACTGTTTGCACACCTCACCCTGAATACGTGTGTCTGGGCTTTTCACGTGGCTGGCGACTTGGTGGTCTCAGGTCTCCACTGAACACCATCTGCTCAGAGAGGGTCCCCTGACCACCTCGCCCAGAGCACCCCCGCACAGCAGTTCTCAAGACTCTCGGGCCTCAGGACCCCTTTCCTCTCTTACCACATGGCAAATGGCTACTCAAGTGGGCATGGCCACTGTCCACACACAAGGCCCCACTAACTTCCCCTTTTCATCCATCAACAAAACATGGTTGACACTTACTCTGTGTTAACCAGGTGTGGCCACGAGCAGGCGTCACCTCTGTGGAGCTTGCCATCATGATGGTATTAAATGAGCAACTAGAGCCGGGCATTAAGACCCACGTCATCCTAGCGTCTTGGGAGGCTGAGGCAGGAGGATCGAAAGTTCAAAGTCAGCCTCAGTAACCTAGTGAGGCCCTAAGCAACTCAGTGAGACCCTGTCTCTAAATAAAATACAAAAAAAGGGCTGTGGATGTGGCTCAGTGGTTGAGTGACCCTGAGGTCAATCCCTGGTAGCACCCCCACCCGCCAAAACAAAAGAGCAACTAGATACAGACAGGAGGTATAAACCAAAGAAACACGGATAGAGAGAGTATACCTCATTAGAGATTAAGACAGATGCTTCAAAAAACTCATTCATTAGTTCATGAAAACAACAATAACAATAATAAACCCCTTGCATAGTTACATGAATAAAACATGATTTATGAAAAACAACTACTTTCCAAAACACATTTAGTGAGCCGACAACATTGCTTTTTCTTGACAAATCTCTTTAATGGATGCCTTGGTAGAAGGCGGACTCAGGTGGATTATGATATCTCCTTCTGTGTTCAGTCTGTCCCAATGTCCCCCCTAGGGAGGCTTCTGGAGGGGCGAGTCCCAACGCCTGCTGCAGACGCTCAGGGGTCCAGCGGGACTTGTAGTTCACAGGAGTGGCCAGAAGATGGCGGCATTGCACCGAACCCGCTGCGGCTTCTCCCGGGTTCTTGAAAACGGGGCTCCTCTCAGAGGCATTTGGGATTCTCTGCAGGGACACTCCGTGGGATGCCTGAGCTTGAGTGCATTGGGTAGGATCTGGCATGGTGGGAAGAGGGAGGGGGCTGGAGCGAATGCGGTGGAGGCAGAAACTTTGGAAAAGCTCTGCTGATTTTTTTCTGAGAGGTTCTGTTCCTGGCAAGGCCAGGCGACTGTCCCCTCTCTAAACCTCAGTTTTCTCTTCTGAAAAATAGGCAAATGTGACTTTTGGCTTCTAGTCCACCGCGCTGCTCTTGCCAAGGATGGCTTTATTTTAATAACACTGGTATTGTCTGCAATGCTGGGTCCCCAGCTTTCTCCCGCCGTTGCCGGGGGCTCTACAGCAGGTGAGATCACTTTTTCTCACATCACCCCCAGACCCCCGGCCCCCATCCATCTGGGTTGACATAAAGGGGCCGTCGCCAATTCCTGAGTGCACCAGCCACC